GGACAGTTAGGGTTAGAAGAACATCCATGCCCCCCCCCCAGGAACAGCCCCCACCAGGCAAACTCAACCCTGGCACCAGGTAGGCCAGACCAGACCCTTCAATTCCCAGGCCCTGGGCCGAGCTATGGGGACACCTTCCATGTAGCCTGGGCTTCTACCTGTTCTGGGCTCTCATGGCTACCCCTGGATGGGCGGCCCAGCAGCTACTAGTATTTTGGATACTGCAGGTCATGTGCATGGTGCCCCCCAGCCACCACCATAGCACTCAGGGAAGCTGGACAGCAGGTGGCCCTGGAAATCCACCTGTTCCCTCACAGCAACACAGAAGTGGCCATCCTGAGCCTGGGGCTCCTAGGCTCTCCATGGCCTCACCTAGCCAATGCCAATGTCCCGAACCCTCCAGAATTATCCCTTTCCTACCACCTAGATCAGGTCTTGCACCTGTGTCCTGAAAGCCCCCAGTCTGGCTGCAGCACCTGGAGCTTTTCTGGGGAAAAAGGCAAATTCTCCACATTCCCCACAGGACCTGGGGCCCACAGCGGTAAATGATGTCCTCTCCCCTCCTGCTAGCAGAGCCAGCAAACTGTCCCCTCTGTGAAGCAGCCTGCCTGGCAGTGCCCCTTCCCCAGCTCCCAGCCCTGCAGCCAGCCCCTCAGCCCCTCTACCCCCCGGGGGTGCTAGCCCTCCCTAGCTCCATTCCATGTCTACCCCCAGAGGCCCTGTGGGCTCCCCAAGATCTCCCCACCTCCTGTCCTGTGACAGGAGGATTCCTCAGGGGAGGTGTTATCTCCATCCAGCCTCCTCCCAGCATGGCCAGCCCTCCTGACGGCCAGCTTCCAAGGTCCTGTCCTCCTAAAAGCCCTCTGATCAGCAGCATGGGAGGGCAAAAGTGCCAACCCACTAGCCACTGGCCAGGAAGGCAGCAGGTGCCTAGATAACCCCTGCCCAGGCAGTATGGTGCTTTACCCTGCTACCTGCCAGGGGCACCCCAGGGAGCCCTAGCCCCATATCCCCAGCAATCTTATCTGTTTGCTTTTCATTCAACATCCGCTGATAATCAGCTCCAGGGCCGGGGCAGGGCGGTTGGCCAGACCTAGTCAGAGCTGGACACTCACGCCCTACAGCCCCTTGGCTGGGGGCACCCTTGGATTCAGGCCTAGAAGCATGGATTGTGTAGACATTTCCCCCAGGATGTGGGGGGTGGAGCCAGGCGTCAGGATCCTGGTCAGCCCCTCAGCTAGTGGGGGTAGAGCTGCTTCTCAGCATTTGCCCAGAGCCACCCAGGAGGGCCCAGTGGTGGGAAAAGGGGTGTGAGGAGGGAGCATTTGGGGTGCCCAAGATAGGTGTGGGTAGGGGAACTCCTGGGGGGCACTTCTGGGCACTGTCCTAGCTAAGTTCCCACCTTGAGGAGTGGCTGGGCCAAGCCCCCTCCTACAGGAGCTCTAGGTGGTGGGCAAGTGTCCAGCCCGAGCCTACCCTTGGCTGTGCTGACCCCTACCCCTCCCCAGACTGGAACACACCTGCTCCTGCTCCCCTAACAGCGGGTATAGTGGACTAAAAGGGTAGTTGGCCCCAGGCCGGAGAACATGGGCAGTGAGCACCTGGCCCATCCCAGAACGTTTCTGCCCAGCCTAAGCAGACATCAGCCTCCAGCAGTAGCCCCCTGGTCACTCCTCACCCTGCCCTGGGCTGAAGCCAGGCCCATACCCAGACACTCTGGGCCCAGAGGTCCTTTGGGGCTCCTCACAGCCACGGATGTGGCATTCCATCTACTACCCCACACAATGGGGCTGTGAGCATCAGTCAGCACAGGGGTCGAGGGGTGAGTCCAGTGGGAAGGTAGGAGAGTTCCAGGATCAGGGGAGGGGTAGTCCAGGCACCAAAGGGCCAAGGCTGAAAGCAGATGGTTGGGGTCCCTGGGCAGCCCCAGGCCCTCTGAGTTCTACTGGGCAGGGCCCATGGAGGGCCCCACTTATGAGGGGCTGTGCTGGTGGCCACCCAATGGCCCCTGCAGTCCATATCCACCTCTCCAGGCCCCTCACCTGGGTCACGTGTGTTACCTCCACAGGGCAGGCCAGCAGCCTGGGTGAGGGGCTGCAAAGGCCAGCAAGGAAACAGGAGTTGGCAGGGGAAGGGGACAGAAGCCAAAGGGCCAGGCCAGTGCTGGAGATAGCATGGGCCCAAGGGAGGGGTTGCTACCAGCCATTGAGGAAGGTAGACAGGGAGTGACAGTCACAATATGCTCAGGGCTTGGGGGGAGATAGGCTGGCATGCAGTGGGCTATCACCAATGACACCAGAACCCTGCCAGAAGCAATCAAAGATGGCTACCACCCCTACCACAAAGGGCCTTGAGGGGGTGGAAGGCAGGTAGTCCTCAGCCCAGGCCCAAGGCTCCTTCCTGCTGTGACCCCCAGCAGTGATATTCACTCTGGCCACTGCTGGGTATCACAGGCTCCACTGGCCTCAGTTGGGCCTATTGTCTAGGCTCAGGGGGAATCCCCACCCCTGATGTTGAGATCTTCCTAGTTTTCAGTCTCACCTGTTCTCCCCCAGAGGATGTCACACCTGGCCAAGGCAGGGCCCAGGGGCTAGACAAGGGGACAATAGTGGGTCCACACTGGCGCCTCCAGGGAGCCAGGCCTCCAGCCTATTCTGGAGCAATCTGGGGGTACCTGCCAGGGGTAAATGCCAACATCCTCATCCAGGCCCTTGACCCCAAGTAAAAGGCCCTAAGGGACAGGGCCACTCTCACAATTCAGCCGGGAAGCTGGATCCCAGCCCCTTTTCTTGGACTAAGGTTTCTTGGACCTCAGGCCCAGGGGCCAGGCCACACTGGGGACCTAAGGGTCCACTATTCAGGGCCCAGCCACACAGACAGACATGGAGGACAGGGTCCAAGCTGGGCGTGAGAATAAACAATTGCCCACTTGTGCAGCCTCAGATTCCACTTTCTAAGGCCCATCGGTGGGATGTGGCTCCAGTTGCCAAGACCACTCCGGAACAGTGGGCCTCCCACGCTTATCTCCCATTTACTCAGCTCATTCAAGGCTTCTAGGTCAAGGGACAATACACCATTCTCCAGGGCCTTCTCACCAAGCAAGTGCCCTGGGAGGGTGAGAGGCCCATAGCCCCAGCAGCCAGAGCTGCCTGCTGACCACAGGTGCATGCAGCCCTGGACTGCCCGGAGCCATGGAGATGACAGATACTGGGATGTCCAGCTTTCACGGGAAATTCAAGCTGAGTCTAAACCATGTCTCACGCACACGCAAACACACACACCCGTGAGCACACGCAAGCACACCCACAGAAGTGCACACACACAAGCTCACACCAGTGGGCTAGTCCACTCCAGGCTGAGCACACAGCCAAACCTGCATCCCTCACACTACAGGGGTCTCCCAACTTTGGGATAACATCAGGCCTCCATGCTGAGCATCACAGCCACAGCTGCTCTTCAGACAGGGGGACAGGGGTTCCCAACCATTTCAAGCTGGAAAATTAAAACCTCGGTGGCCTACCATCCCCATTCCAGAACTTCACAGGTCCCTGGTAAGAGCCTGAGCTCTCTGAGGGCCAGGGGAGTCCCCCACAGCAGCCCCATGGCAAAGGACACAGACAGACAAGCTGGGCCACTGGGATCTTGACCACATCACTGGGGTCCTAAGGTCCCTTTGGGCCCTGGCTGCCAGGTACAGTGACCCCACCTAGGAAGGGGTGCTAGCTAGCCAGGCTGCTTCCCAGGGAGGGGCCCTAAGACCCTGGCCTGGGCCTCCACCTCACACCAGGTTCACACCCCACACTTGCCCTAGCCTCAGTCTCTCACCTGAACAGAAGGGGCTGCTGAGCACACCAAGTGCAGTGGTGAGGAAGGCATCCAGGCTTCTACTTCCCAGCCTGGCCTCAGGCTCCCGTCTGGCAGCACACTTAGAGCCATTTTCCATCCAAACAATTTAATGTCTCCTAATTTAAAACAATTTCCCATTAAAACTAAAGTTGATTTAAGATAAAATATGCAACACTGACCACATTTGTCACATGTGCTTGGTGAGGGTCCTCTCCTGGGAGGAGGTGGGGGCAGCCCCCGGCCTGGGACCTCTTGGAACAGCGGAGGCGGGGGCAGCACAGAGGAGGGCATGAGCAGGCCCTGACCGACCTCAGGTGGCAGATGCCAAATCTGTGGTGGGAACAGCCTCAAGCCAGCCCAGGGCTGCAGTAGGGAACTTACCATCCTGACTCTTGAGGGGTATGACAGGCCCCTCTTGGGAGAGAGAAGCCCTGTGCAAGAGGGTCCCAGGGTCCCCAGATGCCTGCACCCCCAACCCTTGCCCTGGGCCCTCAAAGCCTACCTGCACCCCTCCCCCCGAGGTTGCCCACAGGTGTCCCATCCTCCAACTGGTTGTGGGTGGCCACTCTGCTCCTCTGCCTGAAAGAGGGATGAGAACCAATGCCCCCCAGAGATGCCCTGGGGGACAGACACTGACAGGGCCACTGGGAACTATGGGGGAGCAGAAAACAGCAGCTGGCCCCTCTGGCAGGATCCTTCCTCTGGACAGAGAATTCAAGTTGCAGGCAGCTCCGATCAGCCTAGGACAAGCCCATCTTAGTTCCCAAGGCATGTGGCTGACCGGCAGTGGGGAGGGCCTGGGCAGGACAGCCAGACCTGGGAGATGTTTGCAGGACCCTCAAGGGTGTGTCAGCCCCCACTGGGAATAGGTGATAATGGGGCCATTTCCACTGCAGAATTTTCCAGAGAAGCCCAAGTCCTGATAAAGCAGAGCCTGAGATCCTGTTTGGCCACCACTGCACTGGACGGTGGTGACGATTACAGGGCTGGCGCGTGGGGCACGGGTGGGTGCGGCAGGGGCAGGGCTGGCTACCCCTATTTAAGGCGTCTGGGGCTGGCCACTCTACTTGCACAGGTAGCCACAGCAAGACCGCTCAGACCCAGCTGCGGCAGGCTGTGTCCCACCAAGCCGCCTTCTCTACGCGGGTAGCACCATGCTCGCGCCTGGGTGGCTGCTGCGGCTGCTGCTGCTGCTGTCCAACGGGGGAGCCCTGCTCAGCACTGGTGAGTGGGGGCCTCAGGCCACACCTCAGGGGCATCAGACACCCCAGCATGTCCAAGGGCCCCTGTGCGTGGGAAAGTCTCCAGGCCTTCTCGCCTCGCTGCCTTGGGCTACCATGTGGACACTGATGGATGGGAGGCGGAGACAGGGCCAGGCCCCATGACAGTCTCACCTGGCCAAGGCCCAGGTCTCCAGCAGAGTCAGAGACCAGGAAGGCCCCTCCCAGGAGCCCCGCTTGAAAGGAGCCAGCCCCAAAGGGGTCCCACTGGGTGGAGCCTAGAGCCCCTTCTTGCTGACAGAGGCACCTGGACCACTGCGTCACTGCCACCTGGTGGGGCAGCAGCCACCCCTGTGCCCAGGCCACTGTGCTCCCCATGACTCACTCCTTCTTTCCCTTAGTCCTGCCCATGCCCATCAGCAGCCAGGAGCCCTGCAGAAGCCCCCCTGGAGCTCCCCTGCTTGGGACTCCTGTCCTGCCCCACATGCCTGGCATGAGGTGGGGGGGGGGGGGGGGACTTGGGTCCCTGGGTCGCAGACTGTAGCCAGGCAGGGGGAGGATTGGGTGGGGGCAAGCAAAGTCCAGTTCAGGGGGAGTACAGGGCCTGGACCCACAGCTACTTGGGTGGGTGGGGGAGGCCCCAGCAGAGGTTCACTCAGAAGGGCAGGGGTGGGCTGGGCCACCAAGCGTGCAGAAGGAACAGCGAGTGACCAGTGCCTCGTGGCCGTCCAGGGGCTGAGAATGGCCGGGGGTGGTGGACAAGCCCACTCCCAAGGCCCATGGGTCAGCGTCAAGGAAGCACAGCTAGTCCCCAGCAGGAGGGATAGTGATGTGGTCGGCCACATGAACACCTTCAAAGGAGCGTCCTCTGAGACTCGGGGGTCATAGACCCCAGAGGATGAGGAAGAACTCAGGGGATGGGGGCTCCCCTGGGGTATGATGGACCAGTGAAGCCCCTGGGGGATAGTGGAGCCAGACACACAGACCTGGGGGCAGGATAGACCCAACATGGGCCTGCGGTGTCTGCACCACTGGGGGTGGCCCCCAAGGGCCATCTGAAAAGTGGGGAAACTGAGTCACAGAGGGTCTGACCCAAGGGAAACTGGCCAGGACTCTGCATCTGAGATCCCATCCTCCCCCACTCCCTGACTGGAGCCCAGACATGGCACCCAGACCCAGGAGCCACAGGGCCCCATGGGCACTGGCAGGCAGATGACCAGGACCTGTGTGGCAAGACCTCCACAGGGCCTCCCAAGCCCAGCAGTCCACCCCTATAAGGAAAGGCCAGTGGCTGGGGAACACACTGCCTACTAGGACCCTGAAGAGGATGGGTATAAGCCAGGTGCAGCCAAGCAGAAAGTGATCTCAAGGTCAAAGGGGACCACAGCCAAATATGTCCTCACACAGCCAAGGCCACCAGCCTTCCCAGTCATTGGAACGTCTCAAGCTCCTGCCCCCATGTTGCCCAGAGCCACCAGTGATTGGTGCTAAAGGGGGCCACAGCTTGGGATGTAGGCAGAAACAGGCCCTTCTGAATGCATCTGGAGGGGTATACCAGGCACATACAGCTAACCAGTAGGCAAGACAGGCATCAAGGCCCAAGAGGGGTCTGGAAAGACCATAAGCCCTGGTCACCTGCCTGCCAGGACCCAACACTGTGGGCCTAGGAGCCACAGGGACAGTGGTTAGAGTGAAGAAGATGGGAAAAGCCTCCCTGGGGTAAAGAGTAGAGTGTGGGAGCAGGGGCATCATCCTACAGTCACCCTCTCATTTCTCTGGTCAATGATCACCATAGTCCCAGGCTAACCACAGGGCTCTCTTAAGGTTGCCTGGCAGGAGAGTAGCAAGAGCAACCATGAGCAGCCACAGGGAGACTGGGTGGCCTAGGCTCAGTGCTCAGCCTTTTCATATCAGCACTGCCCCAAATATCCCAGCCTCCTCTCTCCTTGCCCACAAGCTGAGAGTCCCACAGTCAGGGTTCTCCCTGGCACATCCAGAGATCAGAGCACAGTAGACAGACAAGCAGGCCAGAGGGAGCCAAGGGAGCCAGCATCTCAGGACCCTCCAGCAGCCCTGCTTTCCCAGGGATCCCCTCAGGGGACCCCTCCTGACTGCCTGCCTGGGCAATGGCCCTGCTCAAATGCTGCCTTCTTAGAGAGGCCCTCCCATCCCCCATAGCCCAGCCCTACCCCATGCATGGTGAAGCCCACCCACCACACATGCATGTTCTGGCTGCTGCTCCTGCATCTGCATGTGCATACACAAACTGTGTGCACTCTGCCTTCCTGAGGCGTGTGCTGCATGCACTCTGCCCACCCAGTGTGTGTACACATGCTGCGTGCACTCTGCCCGTCCAGTGCGTGTACACGTGCTGCGTGCACTCTGCCCGCCCAGTGCGTGCACACGTGCTGCGTGCACTCTGCCCGCCCAGTGCGTGCACACGTGCTGCGTGCACTCTG